CAGAGTCTTCATCTGAACATTGCTCCTTCGAGTCTATTGTTGCACTGCATCACGTCCCAAAGGTTTTCTACTGGACTCACAGCTGGTAATTGGAGAATCCACTGAACTCATTGTCGTGTTGACGAAACCACTGCAGATGACTTTTGTTTCACTCAACAGTGCAGCATCAAAGTATCCCTTTAGCTTCCATTAAGGGATGTAAATGGTCTGCAGCAATACTCATAGGCTTTTTATTTCAAGCCATAATTATTACGGAGGCACAGAGTGTGCCAGGAAAGAAGCCTGGACTGTTGACATAAGGCACATTGACTTCATGGATTCATGTTGTTGGCAATCTGAGCTTATCCTGAAGTGCAATGTTTTGCCAGCCTTCACCTGTGCTGTCGACCCACTGCACCCTCAGATTTCGGTTGTTGGTTCAGAGATATGGAACCTGATGTGAACCTTTCCTGCTGTTAGCCCATTTGCTGCTAGACACATCCTTTACATATGCTGTGAGCCAGAGATGGTTTCTGGGCAGCTCACCACAGTAGTAAATATTAGATGTCTGAGTTATTGTGGCTTTTCAGTCAGCTCCATCAAGTCTGGATATTCCCCTGATCCAGACTTGATGGGCATGAAAATGAGAAATACTTAAATCAGATTGGTGCTAATAATCCTGTCCCCATGCTAAGCTTCTGACCTATAGCTGCAGGATTCTGTGCCACATGATTGGCTGGTTGGACAGGAGATGATGTACAGGTGTTTTTATCAAGGTACTTGAGTATATGTACTCATTACTGAAACTGAAACTGTTACTTGTCATAAAAAGTATGCCAGTGCAATAAATGAAAATTGGTGTAGGGTCCAAACATAACACAAAGTGTTGACTTTAACCTTAATTTAAGGGGTCTAACACAGATTATATTATGAATGTGCATGTATGATTACATTATTTTTGAATTCAGATTGTATTCATTTCACAGTACAAACAGTAAGAATATCATGTAATAATCATGACATACTGCATGTTTTATAGAATATACTTTGTAAAGAAATTCTAAAGAGCCCTCCGAAAACAGTGTAAAAATAGAGTAATGTTCTTTGAAGGTGTACTTAACTATAGTTTGTAGTAATTTCTCTTCATATGATGCAAATTGTCATCAAAATTTCATTATCTTAGATTAATCACCCAAAAGTTGATTCCACTTTAATCACCTATAAATAACATGTTGTTGAAATATGAAAAAGAAATATGCCATTGTGTTTGATGACTTCTTTACTTTTTCACACCTTTCTGAGATTTCCTTACATCATATCTTAATGCTGTTTTAAAGTTCCATATCTTGTGCAAAAACATAAATCTGTATAATGATCAAACAGATTTGACTGGATTAGCTCATGGCAGATAACCTAACAATGGTGTCAAGAAATATGATATAAATGACTATCCCTCGGGTCGTCTTCTGTTACACCAACCCTCTGATTTCCACCTGTCTCCCTCTCATTCACACACATGTATTGTGTCTTGCTTCTACTAACTTTTATTCATCTTTTCTCCAGACCATACCTCCACGTCTCCAGGCCTTTCTTCCACAAAGACTTGCAAACAAAAAGAGACTCAGAACCAATGTCTGATATAATTCCATCCCCACCCTGAACCTATCTGTCACTCCTATTGCTTACCTCACCTCTGACTCGCTGTTCTCATACATGTCCTGCACCACCGCCAGGGTGACCAAGAAATAAATGTGTAGCAAATACTGTGTTTTTTGACAGCTAGTCTTTCCAAGCTTCTTAGATTAACATATTGTGCATGTTACTGGTTTGTCATTTAGCATGTACAGGCTAAATATATTTCCAGTGCCTTTGCTAAGTATATGCAATAAGGATAGTAGGAAGTTCAAATTTGTTATTAGGGTCTCATGCGATAATCTTAACATACTCCGGTTTTTATTTCATCTCACCATGGTTTCCGCAGGCTTTAGGTTTCAGTTTGGACGTCCATAGATTTGCAGACTTTTTTTGAGCCACATTTGACAATGTAATCAATTTTTATCCAATTATGACGCACACACTTCACAGCGCACCCCACCCCCTTTGCAAATCTGAAAAATAACAAATAAAATACCAATAAAACTTTAAAAAA